GGGGCGAGTACTTACAGCCTTACGTGATCGCGATCGTGCTCGCCGGACGTAGGGTTCAGGTACCTTGGAACGGTCTGAAAAACTCAGACGGCTGTGTATACAGCAACCCTGATCCTTATGAGCTTTACCCTGTTTGGCCTCGAGGCCCACGCCGGTATGTGACGTGGACGCAACAGTATAGTTGTCTCGATGGCCGGTTCGTGTAATCACTCTGTCTGCCACTAGTGCAACTTGGCTTAGCGGCATATCTTCGGGCAGGGCGGCGATCGTAGGCTGAACATAGGCTGGTAATGAGTCGAGCCACAGCTCCTTGACTATATCTGAGTTAGCCGCTTTCGGTCCTGCTAGTGATTGCAGGCGCGTGAGGTGGTGGCTCGGTTTAGCATCACCCATAGGGTGACGTGCTAAAAGAGTCCTCAAGCGTTCCTCCTTCGATGGGAGGAAATGCTGGAGAATCGCCTCCTTGAGACGATTGTAGGCATCTGGAGCATTGGGGTTGAGGACGACCTCACGGACAGCCGCTATATGGTCCCCAGGTAAGGATTCCAGGGCATAGGCAAACATGAGCCGCTGGTTCGTTATGCGACGGATCTCGAACTGAGTCTCCAGTGTCGCGAACCAGACCTCTGGATCGTGGGGAATAAAGGAGACAGGTCGAAAATTAAGGACCTGGATCTGGGAGTCTGTCATATCAGTACATTTAGCGCTATCCATTGCTAATTAAGATTAAATCGCTGTTGCTAGTTTATTATATATAAGTATTAAGCAACAGAATAAATAATATGATAAATGGATAGAAAACTGACAGACTCACCAAGTTTGATCGTGTTGTGGCGAAGATATCCAAATCAATAGCGCGTTGCAGACGAATGGCTCACCAGTGTTGAAACGTGAAGGTTACACGCCCACACAGAATCCAGGACAGAAGATTGTATATAGGATATCGACGTTTATTAATAGAAAGTCGAGTGATATTAGAATAATATCACGTGTTCAGCTTGTACAATCGATGATTACACGAAACGATCGTTAGATCCGCAGGGGTGGCGTGGGTGGCGCTCGAAAAGTGACTTTTAGTACAAATAAACAAATGGTATACAATAAAACAGTTAATGTTACATATGTTCCATAATAAGTATTTGTACATCAGTAATCGTGTTTTTTCGACAAAATAGTTCCACTACACTCTCAAATCCTAACCTCCTGAATTCCTCACCTCCTATATCTTTTTAAGTTTATTTCACTAGATTCGACTTCCTGGATAATGTCTTCGAACCTTAATCTCTCTAATTACTGCTAACACTTCTACTACATCTACTACTATGAGATTTGAATTGACAATTGTATCTCTTTGCTAATGTTGAATGGCAACTTGAACTGATGTACGTACGTACGAAGTTCCACGTCGCTACTGATTAACTGTCTGGGGAATTAGTACTTAGGTTGTAGAGCCGTCTAAAAATTGACATATTATAGGCCGTGGCCAACAAAGCAGAAAACTGAGTGGCGCAGGGATGATTTTATTTGAACAGCAAAAGTAGCATAGGTATCAGTGAACTAAGCAGTATTCTCCGTTCACGCTAGGCACAATCGATATTGAATGTAGACATGGTTACACACAAAACATCACAAAGAAATAAAAAATTCGGTGTCTATTTTATGGTTTTTATAAATGTGTTACTGTAACTCCTAGAATCGAAAATACCAGGCATAACCAGAGTTAATATTACGTTTTAGTGGTGACCGAACCGAGATTGACTATGAGTACCACTAAATACTAATTACGAACCCGTCACCGAGAAGATGAATAAGTCCAGGTTAAAGAATATATTTGCTGGTGATTTCGTGGTGTCGAAAGAACACCGAAATTAAACCAGGAAAGTGGGCGAATTAAAGAACAGCTAGAGCAGAGAATGGCATCAACACAAAGAGAATGTTTGCGCGTAAAAGTGTGTTATAAACAAAAAGTACTGTTAAACGGTCAACGGTACAATTGGTTATAATGAAGAATGTTTATATTAAACCAATCGCGTTCTCTTCGTAAAGGTATTCTACTACAAAGTCATTCAACTTAATAACAATATCTGGTAATTGATAAAATTTAGACAGTAGTCAAGGCTGAAAAAAATGGTGAACCAACAGTTAGTAATTCGTTTGTCTGACTGACAAAAAAATTAATAATACATTTGACTACAATTTAACACTTCTTTTGTATAATTAATTGTAATGGAAATAAATATTCAATGGCTTATTGGCCACATACTACACGTATCTGACTCTAAGTATGATGAGTGGAAACCCTAATCCTTCAGCCACGAGTGTCTCTCAAGGCTGAGAGTGTATGCTAATGATTACTGAATTCCCGGTAAGAGGAGCTAACATGCTGTGTGATCAGGATTTGTATTGACATTCCCACGACTAACATCATGATTTAAATCCACCTCGCAAGCAAGTAAACAATAGCAGGAATAAAACAAAGTATTCTTAGTCTTTACCAATGTATGCAAACAAATGAAATGCACAATCATTAAAACTTCAAAGATTCATTCAGAAATATGTAAAATGAGGCTACTGTAGGCTGACTTTTATATGCACTTTAAAATTTAAGATTGATTACCATTTTCATTGATTGTTCTATAGGACTTATTCTTAGTTTTAATTACAAAGCCTTAACATTTTAAAGCACATCAATAGTTAAATAGTTGAGTTTTAGCATTTGATGGGAAAGTTCAATAAGTCCAAGAAAATTAATTCTGAACACTGTAAGAAGTTGCCACGATCTATTTACGTTAGTGTTAGAAATATGTTGATAAATTAAAAAAAATCCTTTTCTTCATAGCTTCTACATTCACTTTTTCCTGTTCTACGATAGACATTTCCACTAGTTTTTCTCCTTTGTTATGTATTTTGCCATTTTAATCTACCCGTTCTGATTGGATTTAACAATATTGGGTTTGCAAGATACCGTGTTCGTCATAACTGACTAATCTGCTTAGACTTTATGACTTTGAAGTGATGGTTCACTATCTTTAATTTGACCTTGTTGCCACAATTATTCAGTCTGATACACAAAATCAATCTATGTAATCACATCAAATACGTTTTAAGCAGCGTAACTTATTTTTTAAACAAGTACTTCAAGTTAAATGCAGCTTTTATTTCAGTCAGTCAGTTAGTTAATCTCAAACATTATAGTGACTGATACGAAGATTTCTACTAGCCTCATTTTGTGTACTTCATAACATTTGACTGAATTCTGAGAAAGTGTACATGTTCTTTTTCGTTTGTATGTTTCATAACCGGTTAAAAATTCGTTACAGACTTCCTATTACCTTTGTACTTTATGTGTTTATGTGGTAGTATGCATTTGAAACACATTCTCCAAAAAACCTTTCAAGTTACATCTTTTGGCATGAGATTATTGACTCTGAGTGACTCAGCATTACAAATGACTCAAAATAACATCGGAAATTAATTGTGATTATTTACTTTTGTAATCAGATAGCGCCCATTTAATCTTACTGCTAAAAGTTTATCGATAAAATAACCACATTTTACATTCGCAAAACAGTAATGCTGATGTTAGTTCAAAAGGAATCCATAGAACTATGATGTGAAAATCAAAATATGTGTTCCCTAATGACTAGCTTCTCGGAGTTCTAGTGAGATGTGACCACTGGAGTTCAACCCAGTCGGGTGTGGGCAGTAACTACCGAAGACAATCGGTAAGGTTGCGCAAAATCCTTAGATTGATCAGAGTTAGACACCAACACTGTTGTATGCCAGCTCAGTGGTTCAGAAGTTAGGTGTCCGCCCGCCAGACCGAGGGTCCTGGGTTCGAATCCCACGGGTAACAGGAGCCGTGGATGCGCCCTGTTGATGAGTCCCACACAGGACGAAACGGTCGTCCAGTGCCTCCAGATTTCTAATGATGATCAAACAATGATTCATTCATGAATTCAATGTAAATTCATCAAGTTGAAAAATAAAAAGTATGAACTAATTCAAAAACTCAATATTTAGTAGGCAGAAAAGGGATGACATTTGAAAGGACGAAAACGGTGTTAGTTCATTTTAGATATTGTCTTCAGTCATATATCACGATCATTTTATGTAACCCAACCCAGAAGTTCACATCTCCTGTTAAGGTTCAACCAGTTTACAATTTCCGGTTCGGATACTGTGTGACTACTTCTAACTTTGTTCTTACCTAATTCTCTGTCAAGTAGCATACAGTTAGAACACTTATTGATAGTTTCGTATATAAAAATCAGTGAATTCGACTGAATGAATCTCCTCTTTTACATCAGAAAATAAAGTGAAAATATCAAAACCACCGCACAATAATTCATCAGCCGAACTCTTCACATTTCATTGATTGTACATTAACTGGAAGCATAAGAAAATCGGGATAAATTAATATCGATGACTAAAAGGAGATGGAGAGAAAAAAATAGATAAATGGATATTTGATATTGTTCTTGGGATGTAGAGAATGATGAGGGGCCAATAGATTGACACTACGTGTCTCGGTTTTAAACTGCAGAACTCATCAATTGACTAACAATTCACTCAGACCAAAAGACAGTTATCTCATGGGTCTTCCTATCATTTCACTCTGTTCAAAATTTAATTGGATATTCAGATTTGGCTTGCAAATCACTTCACCTTAAGCTTGCAAATATTGAAAATATTGTTGCTTGTGACAAATAATTTACCTAACAATTACAACGTATAGTATATATTATTACAATACAATGTATTTATAATTCATATAACTTTGTAATCCATTATTTATAAACGATATTCCAAAAACGATTACACGTTTGATTTATTTTGAATAGAAAAACAACAACAAAATGAAACAATAAAAACAAAAAACAATTAGTTGTTGATTGGATTATTTTATAATTTGAATAATATACATATACATATATATATATATATATTATATATTATATATAATCTAAATTCAATCTAGTCATGTGGTCGGTCATCAGTTAATTTGATTGTTTGTTTTCATTTTCATTAAGTAGTCTAAGATAATACGCAGAATTCCATTCGTTAAAATCACATCCTAGAAAACTGAATAAAAGTTCAATTTCAAATTGTATGGTTAATTTATCAGTTAAATGATGTAATTCTTTAATCACTTGTAGTATTTCTTTAACCCATGGACTGGATGGTTTTATTTGATAACTATATTTTACATTTTTTAATAATTCTGAAATAAATGATATTATACAATCCAATGAATTGGGTTTATGTTTATAAGTTGTGTAAATCAATGATTTAATGTCTACTGGTAAAGGAATATCACGTGCAATTGTTAGACGACCCAAAAATCCACCAAAATATTTTAATACTTTACCATTATAAACATTAGGATTTGGAATTTTTAATAGATAATCAATTTCTTTTGTTAGGATTTCTAACATAAATGTCCCGAAATTTGTATAATGCTTTGAAATCATTGTTACAAATTTAGAGTATAGATTATGCTGACTCGGTTCTGAAGCAACACGTCTTAGAATTGAATAAGCAAGCCATAGAGTAAAATGATGCGGTATAATAGTAATGATTTCATCTACTTGGCTTTCTAGATTATATTCAGTAATGTTATTCAGTATAAAACAGACTTGTTTTAATATACGTTCTGGAGGTGAAATACACCTTGATACAAGTCTAGATTCCATTATTTCAGTGAATCAAACAGAAATGTGCGAATTGAAACTATCTACTAACTGAATAATGTTTTATGATGAATAACAAATAAGTAGACATAAATTATTTCAAATTACTGAATGTTAAATCTAAAAAATCAATGACAACAATAGTTTTATTGATTTACATTTACACTGACAAACTGTAAACTAAATATTTTCATTTATCTCATGTCACTAACTACAGAATGTTCACAGTGTCACAAAATTTGCATAATCCTAAGTTTAATGATGTAAAACAATTAAATATAGTAGTAAAGAGCGTGGAAATTAAAATAAATTTAATGGGGCAGTGTATCATCATAAGAGTTGAGTATCGATTGTATTTGAAATTCTGTAAACAATATGATGATTTAGTAGCACTCATTTTGAGTGCGAATATTCATCTAGTGCTCCCAGGGATTTAAAGCCACTGAAGTGAAATTGTGTTAATCATGTAATTAATCGTATCTATTAATATTGACTATTATGCTTTACACTCTTGAAGTTGAACAGAACACACTACTATGTTGTACGTTTAGCCAATCATAACTAAACTAAAATATCAAGAGACTTTGCCATTGAGATCATCCAGGGTTTGTTACCATACCCTTCCTATTACTAGCTTCGGAATTATGCCGTCATTAAACCTGTTTGAACATTACACTGTATCAATGTCTATAAAGAAACGTATGTACAAAGTCTGACTGATATGTATGCAGGTCAGTATTATCAGTCTTTGAAAATTTCATAATTACCTTTTACTATGTATTTGCTGATTGTGAATAAAACAACTATTACCTTGAAATATCCTTATTATGTTGAACTATTTGATTTATGAGGTTAACAATGGTTAAACAGTTTGTGATTTTATCTTTTTTTTAAACCAACATATCTTATCGCAGAAAAGTTGGTAAGCATAGTTGATTAACTACGTACTTTTGTGCTGTTTATTTTTCATACAAGGCAAAGAATTATTAAATGTATAATAGTTTTTATCGCGGATCAACTGGCAAACCATTTAACATAAGGAAATATTTTGCACTGATTTCCTTCAATTTTAAGGATCTATTCATTAGTGAACACCTGAAATGAAGTTGAACATAAAACTTTCCATTCTCATAGTCAGCTTGAAATCATTGGCGGATTCAGTTAGAATCCAGAGATAACTACTTTCATACTTAATCAGTTTGTAATGTAACATTATCTTCATGTATTATCATCTGTGAGTAGATCTCACTTTTGATATGGTTGTCTTTATATACTATGGTGTTCCTATTAAGCTTCTAAAAATTAGTCATGAATGGATACTTAATTAGTAATTAGGAAGTTATTTCGGAAGTACCTCTGTGATCTTTTTGCCTTAAACTAATATTAACTATACAACCTATGAAAAACAACCAGCACTGGATACCTGATGCATCTTATTTCGAGACTGATGAACAAATGAAAACCGCAGTCATTGACCAGAGACTAATCAATGTAGTCTGTATGTTACTTTCAAACAATTAATGCTCCTTCATAATTCCAGTAAGGAAGTAGACTAGTTGTAAGGTAGCTTACAGCTAGTTTTAAAACCCAACAGTATAGACTACTGAATAACAAAAGTAGTCAAAAAGCACCAACTACAGCCATCAGAGTTGTCTACCAGAATTAGCAGGATATAAACACCCAGAACACTTTTCACTTAAAATTAGTAACAGTCTACCAAAATATCAATTTATCTGTCTCAGTCAACATATTCCAAATTAATTGGTGATATTCACTAACCACTATGAACTAAACAAAAAGCACATTGTTTGCAAACAGAGTTATAGTTTTATTTAGTTTAATGAATCAACTTAATGAAACCTCTTAAACTTATTAATTAACTTTATTTAAAGCCAACATTTTAGTGACGTTTATTAAGATCTGTTCAATTAAATAACTCTATTCATTATTCCTCTTGAGACTGACATTAATCCTTGATGATAAAGATGAATTTTGACCAATTTTTCAAATCATAACATATAATTTTTACCCGAAAAATCAATAGAAAAGGTCACATGCTTTAAGCAGCTAAATAAATCTCATCCGAACATAAATTAAAATCACATTAGGAAACAATATCCATAACCTTTAGAAGTGATCATTAATCTGTTTGTTCTCAAATTTATAACCGATTAGTCATCCTTAATCAGAAAAAATCTACTCATCAAATGTTTAGGCTATTGATTACTGCTGGTTGTTTAAATCTTTCTATTGATGTTTACGATTATGATTAATCAGTTCATTTGGTATACGTGTAACCTATGCAGATGGCCTGATTATTGCCATTAGGTTACAAGCATTATTACCGCAGACACATTGTGGCTAACAGTAGAATCCAGTATGCACTTTTTGTCCTATTTGGGACTCATCTGCTGGATATAGCTGCATCCCAGAGTTCATGTTCACTCTGAGACTCTAACCCCGTACCGTCCGTTTCAAACGCCATTCCAAAGGGAACATCATCTCTGAGATGTTATTCTCTGGAAGCTATTTCTATGATACCTTAGTTTTATATATTCATTTTAAATTAAAGTTACTTACAAATAGCCTTACAGTTAAGCTTTCAATTTTCGATTTGCACGAGTTAATTTCATTATTTCTAAATTTCGAAGTTTTTAACAGCCAAGAAAACCATATCCTATGGTTTTCCAAAAACCTAAGTAGCACTAATAACAACAGAACAGTTCACAGCTTTCAACTAATCCTATGTGACAAGTACCAAAATAAACGGTTTGTATGATTGAAATAACGAGCAATTTTACAGTTTGACTTAAACGAACTTTAAAATCTAGCATATTACTATTTATGAAAATGCCAAATCTTAATAATTTCATCAAGGTCGTTACAGGGCCACTCCTAACTCCTTCATGAACACTAGTAACTCTTGGTAAAAGAATAGTCCCCTGAAATATGAAAGTTATCTCTAGTGAAACAACAAATCTACCTGGAATTCTGAATATATAAATCAAGTTACTTGAATAAAATGACATAAGGTCTATTAGTTTTGAAGAAAAACTCTATGACAACACCTTGCATCTTGATTGAACTTGGAACTTGTAAAGCTGATGACTCATTAGAAGTGACACCAAAACGTAATTACTTATAAGTTAAAAGTCACTATTATTTTGTCAGTCATTTATCTCTTAAATGTTACCGAAATTAGTAGTAAATGCGGGTAAATCACTTAGATGATTGATAAGCTTCATTATAACACTTTAGCTGGATGGAAAATTTCAGTGTGTACATTCAGCAAATGAAAGGTCTCATGATGACGACCAAGTTTTCATATTTGTTACTAAATAAATTTCAATTTCATCTCATAATATACATAGCGTGGTAATCACATGGTATTTACTGATCAGTCGACAAATATTTCAATGGTTTTTGTTCCACAAAACATCTGATGTTTATTTTCAATAGTCATCATTAGATTCAAAATTTAAAAGGTCAATTCACATTTTGATACTTTTATTGATAGTGACTTACTTAGTTTTACAAATGGTTGGTTATTCATCTAATTTTATGACTAAATGACCTCTTTCAATGTTTCATGTGATATTAAAAAGAAAAAAAGACTTGCATATAATGTATTTTCGTTAGACAAAACATTATGGTCTTAAGTTACACTAAATGTTATTTCCTTATATGAATTGTCTAGCTCTGTATAAACTGATCAATAAACTACACTCATATAAAGACAAAAGTGAGTTAGTGCTTCACAATGATGTAAACTTTACGGCTTATTTTTGAATGTGCGTAGATAAATTGTGCGTGAAAGTAAACTTTACTAAATAAAATCGGCTGTAACAAAACTATTACCTCTCGGAGTTGCTAAACTGTTATAATTATCGCCAACTATTGTGACTTGACACAAGTGAAAAGATGGAAATTGATATTTGCTCAGCAAACATTATTCCGAAGATTTTGAATTCTTCATCATAAGTAGTAAGTATCTCTAAGCATAAGTCTTCCATTGACCCTAATATTTTAAGTGAGATAAGCACGAAATTTTGAACCACTGTCTAGTCTAGTTATAGGTCTTCATATCTTTCATACTATATGTAAAACGTAACTCCAAAATGAAGGACAATTTTGAAACCATATTCATTTTTTGTGGAGATATCATAAGTAGAGAACACTTACTTCGTTTAATTTTCCTGTTGAGCCTCAAACTGTTTCTGATATTGCGCCAACATGGATTTAGCTCCACCAACGGTTAAAGACATACTTACATACTTAAGCCCGTAATGAAGCATAGGCCGCCGACAACGACTAATTTTTTCTGGTTAGCTTTTTTTTATCAAGTTGAATTTCTACAGGACGGGGTAGCTAACTCCTTACCTAACCCTTCTCCTTTTTCCATGACGAGGACCGGTAGTAACCTCAGAAGGGCTCTAGGCGGAGTCGATTAGAGACATATTACAAATTAACCCGTTGTCAGTTGTTAGATTATTGTCTGTTTAGAAATAGGAAGGAAGACTAATCCCCGTTTACTGAACGTATTACTTAATAATGACTGTATGCACTAGTGCATTTATCTGGCAGTGGTTATAAATTATTTCTTTCCTCACAGAGAACTACTCATGAACGTGTACTATTAGAGATAAGAAAGAAGGCAAAACAGGTGTGTAAAGAGTTCATTTCACACCAAACTAGATTAGCACAATATTTCAGTACAGTAATATGGACTTTATTAACGCTAATTAACAGTTTCAGATGCTTTAATTTTTAAATCATTATAACTGAGTCACACTCATTAAGGATAAATCAACAAGTTATTGCATGAACTTTATTTATACATAATATCAGGTATTAGTGTGATAGCCAACAAATAAAACTCATGTACAAAATCCGTGTTTGCTCTTTTACAGCACTAAATGAAAAACAAAAACTTAACTAGAGTTATTCCACATTATTTTTTCTGTAGCAAACATGTCAATCATCTAGGCAATCGGACATATGTTATTCGGGTCTTGTATATAGTGAAAATTGTTACCGTTTAATTGTGAGTTATCGAATAACTCTGATTATAGTATTGAC